GCGGAGCAGGGAGCCTGATGTGGGGCTCGATTCCAGGACACTGGGATCATGACCTGAGCCAAAGACAGACATTTAACGACTGAGCCACCCAGGCACCCCTGAACTGAGAAATGTTTTGAGGGAAAATAGTATCTTTTAGGTTCTTGGTTCTGCCCATCAGAGAGAGACATTTGGGCATGTAGCTGGGTGTCTGGGTGCTGCTTGCCGACAGTTTAGTCTCTAGGCCTACGTCTGCTGGTTGTGCCAAGGCAGACTTGGTGGGGAGCGGGGGAGAAGGAGTGTCGGCTTTGGTCGCATGTGGGCTGGGGTTCTGTGGGGGCCTGAGCCTCAGCCTGGTACTTCGGACAGGCGTCTGACCTCTTTTCATGAGCCTTGGTTTCCTCAATAGTGAAAGAGAAAGAATATTACAACTTTGCAGGGTTTCTGGGCAGATTAAAGAGAACACAAATTAAAGAATAGTGTCCGGGGCATAGGGGAGTTCAGCAAGTTGGTCAGTTGCCCCTATTTTTATTTTAGCTGACTGACAAGATTCTTGGGGCATTTTACTTTTCCTCTTTTCTCCCCTTGATTTGACACTGTGCTCTGCTTTCAGTTTTATCTCACAGGGGGAGCACAGCTGGCCTACCTAGGATCTCTCCCAGTAATTGGAGAAAAGGAAGTGATTCAAGCTGATGATGAGCCTACCTTCTCTTTCTTTAGTGGCCCCTACATGGTCATGACCAAGTAAGCAGAAGCTGGCCCGTGGGAGGTCTGACGTAGTCCCACAGAAAGGGTGGGCTTCATGTGACTTCCTTATGTGTGGAGGCTTTCTCCTCCAACACAAGGAAACATGAAGAACAGATGTCTAAATCAGGGTTTCTCAACCTGGACACCACTGATGTTTGTGGCTGGTATTGTTTGTCGCTGGGGGCTGTCCTGTGCATGGTAGGAGGTTTAAGAGCATCTCTGGTCCTACTCACTAGATGCCAGTAGCAGCCTCTACTGACCCCCTTCCCCCACAGTTGTGACTGTGACAACCAGTGTCTACAGACCTTGCCAGATTCCACCCCCTCTTCCGCCACCCCATTGAGAACGACTCATGATGCTGTTCTAACCTCTCGGTTTTCTAGAGAGTTTGAGGAAGCCTAGTGGTGACTGTCTGGCCTCTGATTTAGGCCAGAGGGTATTGATCAAGACTTCCGTGGAAGCCGGAACAGGCATCAGCTGCAGCTCTCGGCAGCCAACTGCAGCAGGAGCGGCAATAAGGGGATTTGGCTATGACAAAAGTCCTGGGGATGTTCTCAGTCCTGCCTTGGGCACAGTTGTCCTGCCCAAGGTCTCTGGCTCTCCTTGAACCTGGATGCTTCTTCCCTGCCTCAAAGAAGCACCCTTCCAAAACGGCCTCTGCCAGCCTCCTGAGGCCCTCTGTCCCTTACAGATACACCCTTGTTTCCTGCCTGTGCCACAGATTTGTAGCCAGGTCCCCCCTTCTCTTTGTCCTACTGCTGTGGTCTTTGTCCAAGTCATCAGTGTCCCTCACCCAGACTGGCCTAGCCAGCCCCCCATTCTCTCACACCCCTTCCTACCATTCCCCACACTGCTGGTGCTGTTGTCTTTCTAAAATGCAGACCTGATCGAGTCACTCCCTCCCTTGAATCCTTCAGTGACTTCTTGCCACCTATACTAAGTTCCCCAGGGTGCTTTAGGATAGGGGGAGGAGGGGAGGCGGAGGGAGGACTCAAGGGTGCAGGGTTGGGGGCGCTTTATAGATTCCTTGTAATACCACTTCTCCGGTCTTCAGCTGGGAGAGCTGCTCACTCCCTGCTGCTCACATTTTCTCCTGTCCTTGTAGCCTGGTGTGGAACGGGAGCAGGGTCACAGTGAAGGAGCTGAATCTCCCCACCCACCCTCACTGCAGCAGGCTTAGGCTGGCTGACTTGTTAATTGCAGAGCAGGAGCACAGCAGGTGAGAAGGAAGTCCAGGGGCCTGGTGCATTACAGTCCAGGTCTCTTTACAGACCCAGGTTCAAGGCTATACAGTACTGTCCCTGGGGTGTGGAGACCAGCCCCCCTCAGCCTCAGTATTTCCTGACTGTTAGAATGGGTTCATTTGACTTCCAAGGGCTACCAAGAGAGAGAAGGGGGGTTAATGAATAGCCGGAGTGGTGGGGATGGTGGGGATGGCTTAATTCTGTTAGTTGATTGACTTCCCATAACCCGTGTCTCTGATGGTCCAGCCTCCCGTTCAGCAGCCCCCTGAGGCCCTTCCCCGTTACGGCCTTGTACCCATCAGGATAGCATGCATAGTCCTGTCTTCACAGACCATGGCTGTGCATGAGATCCACACAACTGAGGAACTGAGGCTCTGCCATTGAGGACATGCCCAAGGGTGTACCTTAGTAACCTGGGTTTCCTGTGGCTCCGGGGTCAGCCCTTCGGCTCTTGCTGAGGCAGAATCTTGATTCATGGTTTCACTCTGGGACTGCCGAGTGAGTGGACCTGGTTCCTTGAGTAGGCCACCCAACCCCTGCAAGAAGTGTGTCAGAGGCCAGCCTCTTCCTTTTGGGGAAGTCCGTGTAAAGGGACCCAAGGAAGCTGGAAGGACGCATGTACACAATGTGGACTTTGACATGAGACTGAGGGGTGTGTGACTTGGGCAAGTTACTGACATCTCCCTGACCTTGGTTTCCTTATCTCAAAAATGAGTATAAGGATATATATATTTCTTACAGGTGGTTGTTAGGATGTGGATGATATGTGTAAAGTGCCTTGATCAGTAGCTCTTGGCGACAATGTCGTTGTTACTGGTGACTCTGAGTCCTCAGGGTTTGATCAGTGAGAGGCCATAGATTTCCCTACCCCCTTCTCCCCCCACCCATCCTGTTTTCTTAGAAAGACATAATGTACAAATGCTGTTTGTTTAGAATGTGTTCAAGGGGCCTAGAAGGAAGGAAGGCACTCATTTTTTCCTCCTATCTTCTTTTCCCTCTGCCACATCTGAAGCTGCTTTTGTTTTGTAGCAAGCTCCGGCACCCCCACCTGCTGCAGCTGATGGCTGTGTGCCTGTCCCAGGACCTAGAGAAGACCCGCCTTGTGTATGAGCGCATCACTGTCGGCACACTGTTCGGTGTCCTCCACGAACGGGTAAATGGCTGTTTCCAGGGATTTTGTCTTGCTGCCCTCCCCACTTCTCCCCACTGCCCTCTTCCCCTACCCCAGCAGTGAAATTTCCATTAATGTGTGCAGGGAAGATAAACCTCCTAATTCTTTACTTTCTAGGGCTATATATGCACCATTTAAGGCTGATAAGCACCTGGCTGGAACTAGTGTAATTTTATTGCTGTCTGTCCTGTTTTTTCATCAGAACTCTAAGAGCTCAACAGACCTAGAAAACAAACAGATGCGTTTCTATCTAACTGTAATCAGGCAACCCTTGGCTGGCTTGCTTGTTTACTTGCTTGCTTTATTTATTTATTTATTTGTTTATTTTTTACAGATTTTATTTATTTGACAGAGAGTATGTATGCACAAGCAGGGGGAGTGGCAGGCAGAAGGAGAGGGAGAAGCAGGCTCCACCGCATTGATCTGAGCTGAAGGCAGATGCTTAACCAACTGAGCCACCCAGATGCGCCAACCCCTGGCTTTAATTCCCTGTATTTTCACTTGTGTCTTTCAGGACTTTTGCTGTAGATAGAGGTTTGTTTATATACAGACCTGTATCACTCCCTCTCACTTTTCAAATTTCCTTATGGGAACATCTTCCAGGGCCCACAGACTCCCTAAAGAAGTGTGCTTTGGGCTGAGATGTGGCTTCAGAGAGGTTCTGAAGCATTTGCTTTTCTTTCTCCATGACTTTGTTCTAAAGACCCTGGGCAAGAATGAGAAGAGACCCTCCAGGAAGGGTCCTTCCCCAAAATGGCCAGCCATTCCTCCTGCCTGAGGACTTCCTATTAGTGTTATTTCTCCTTCCCTCCCCATCCCTCCCCTTTCTTCTCTTGTCATTTGATGAAGCCATTACCTTGAAATGCCATTTCTCTGGGGCACCTGGGTGGCTCAGTCATTAAGCATCTGCCTTCGGCTCAGGTCATGATCCCGGGGTCCTGGGGATCGAGCCCCGCATCGGGCTCCTGCTTGGCGGGAAGCCTGCTTCTCCCTCTCCCACTCCCCCTGCTTGTGTTCCCTCTCTCTCTGTGTCTCTCTCTGTCAAATAAATAAATAAAATATTTAAAAAAAAAAAAAAAGCCATTACTCTGGGGAACAGGATAGAGAGCTCAGAAATAAACCTACGCTTATGTGGTCAGTTAATGTGCAACAAAGGAGGCAGAAACATACAATGGGGAAAAGACAGTCTTTTTATCAAATGTTGTTGGGAAAATTGGACAGCCACATGCAGAAGAATGGAACTGGACCACTTTGTTACACCATACACAAAAATAAACTCAAAATGGATTACAGACCTAAATGTGAGCCTTGAAACCATCAAACTCCTACAAGAAATCACAGACAGTAATCTCTTGGATATGGGCCTTAGCAACATATTTAAGGATATGTCTCCTCAGGCAAGGGAAACAAAAGCAAAAATAAATTACTGGAAATACACCAAAATAAAAAGCTTATGCACAGCAAAGGAAATCACCAACAAAACAAAAAGGCAACCGACTAAATGGAATAAGATATTTGCAAATGAAATATCTGATAAGGAGTTAATATCCAAAATACATAAAGAACTTATATAACTGACTATAAAAAATGCCAAATAATCCCATTAAAATGGACAGAGGACCTGGATAGACATTTTTCGAAAGAAGACGTAGAGATGGCAAACAGACACATGAGAAGATGTTCAGCATCACTTATCATCAGGGGAATGCAAATCAAAACTACAGTGAGATATCACCTCACACAAGTCAGAATGGCTAGAATCAGAAAGACAAGAAATAACAAGTTTAGCGAGGATGTGGAGAAAAGGGAATCCATGTGCACTGTTGGTGGGCATGTAAATTGGTGCAACCACTGGAAAATAGTATGGAGGTTTCTCAAAAAATTAAAATAGAATTACTATATAATCTAGCAATTCCACTACCAGGTATTTATGCAAAGAAAATGAAAATACTGGGGCGCCTGGGTGGCTCAGTCGTTAAGTGTCTGCCTTTGCCTCAGGTCATGATCCCAGGGTCCTGGGATGGAGCCCCGCATCAGTCTCCCTGCTCGGCGGGAAGTCTGCTTCTCTCTCTCCCTCTGCCTGCCACTCCCCCTGCTCATTCTCTCTCTTTC